TATCTATTTGGATATTTCAATACTAATCTTCGCGTTTAATCACTTTACTAGAAAACTTGGAATTCATATCCGAAGGTACTATTCGTTGCAAGATAATTAGGATGGAATTCCTCAGATTTTTAAAAATATAATGGGTATAAAGATGCCAGCTTTGGCCACGTGCCTCGTCTGTTCAGTTTATATTTGAAACTTAACTTAAAAGGGTGAAGTTATTACGAACGAAATCAATTTTTTTGTTTAGTACGTTTTTGATCGCATGTAATTTACGGATCGTCGGTGTTTCCGCGTCTACGGCAGTAATTAGCGTCTCGAATATTTCTTTTACGAATTATATACAGTACGTGAGTGATTTTTTATTCCATATACCTACGAACATATACGTATCTTTCGCTCGTGCTCGTTTTGTTGGATTGTTTGTGATGGCTTCATCAACAACATCATTAAGTTTTACATCGGTACTGTTGCGTACAGTCAGTAAATCTGTCTATTCACCAAGAGAGAAGACTATTGTCCTGAATGTTCACGATGCTCTGGTTTCTCAGAATCCCACAAACACTGTTCGCAACATAGTCGAAAGTTGTGTCAACATGACTGGTGTAGGGGAGTCAACTATATATAGATTCTTATGAGAAAGAAAAAAGCACGGTATGTCTAACCCAAACACAAACGAATACTTAAAGAGAGGGAAAAAGCCTATTGAAATAGATGAATTTGCCAAAAATGGTATTCGAACGAAAATTCATTGATTTTTTTTCAAAAAAAAAAATGCCAAACCTAAACAAAATTTTACAAGAAGTTAGAGACGACCCGAATTTACCTCATATCGGACGAACTAAATTGTGGCAAGTTTTAAAAGAATTAAATTTCCGGTGGGAGAAATCAGACCGAAAATCACTTTTGATTGACCGGGAGGAGATAATATGTTAGAGAAGAAATTACCTATCCATACGAAAATTCCGGGCTGAAGGAAGGCCAATCTTCTGCCAGGATGAAACATGGGTAAACTCAGGTCATTCTCTAAAAAAAAATTGGTCAGATAAAAATATATTAAGTTCCAGGCAATCCTTTATGGAAGGTTAGTCTACTGGTATCTCCCCACCTTCTGGTAAAGACAGTAGATTAATAATTTCTCACATTGGCAGTGAAAAAGGATTTGTTAAGCATGGTTTGTTGAAATTTCAGTCCAAAAGCACAAAAGACTATCACGAGGAGATGACAGCTGATGTTTTCGAAGAGTATTTTTAGCAGATGATTGAACACATACCACAATTATAGTATTAGGTAATGCACCTTATCATTCACGACTAGTAGAAAGACTTCCAACGACTGAGTGGAAGAAACAGGATATTCTTGACTGGCTGCGGAATAAGTATCTGCCTTACGAAGATGGAATGGTAAAAGCAGAACTTTTAAAAATTGCCCGGCAACACAAATCTAAGTTCAAGAAATACGTATTAGAACACGTTGAAAATTCGAATGGAATTCCCTAGATTAAGAGACTGGGCCGATATCAACCACACAATGACTGTATTTCCTTAATGCTCTAACGAATAGTAAGCCTTAGTCTCTCGTTACATTAGTTTCAATTTTAAATTCTATCCAAAGTTTAAAGGTACTTTATTAAATGATGCAAAGTAGGTATAGGCAGGTAAGTATTTCAATTTTGAGTTGTTACTTAAGTTATCAAAATATCACTAAATGGTGATAATTTTTGCGATATTTGGGAGGTTAATCATATTTACCGATTAATTAATTCATAAAAAACACAGAATTCCGAGCAGAATTCCTTAAAAAGTAAAATTACATATTTTTTCTTAGGTCTTCTTTCGACGATGGTTAAATCATAAGCGATCAAAAAGACGTTTTTTTTTTTGACACAAGTGCCACGATCCACTGTGTACGAACTTATAAAAGACAGACAAGTGTTGCGAAAAAAAGAAAGGATTCTGGTGCCCATCGAGTATTACCGAATTTTCATTTATCAGCTATACGGGAAACAATATATAATATGTATTCAGTGAATAACTTTAAATAAACTTTTGAGTGAATTAAGAAACAAAGAAATAATCCTCGAGTGTCATAAAACTACTTTTTGGAGGTTTTTAAAATCTCACAGTTTTATGTTTAAAACAGTGAATAAACGGCAGGCGATTATGGAATCCAGCCGTTTAATAAAGTGGAGGTTCGATTATTTGGAGAGTCTAAGGTCTGTTTAGAGTGAAGGGAAGAACTTTATTTGAATAAAACTTGGTTCGACACCCACGATATAGTTAAAAAATGTTGGACCGATGGTAGTAAAAATTGCGTCACCAATTTTCCTCTCTCTATAGGAGACTCAGGATGCGTAGAAGATGCTTTATTACTCTCTACTAAGAGTGTAAGTGATTGTCACTTAGATTATTATCAAGATATGGACAGTACTTTGTTTGAAAAGTGGTTTGAGCAGCAATTACTACCTAAATTAAAAAGAAATAGCGTTATTATTTTGGATAATGCTCCGTAACATTGTAGACTAAAGAGTAAAATTTCAAACACTAATTAAAACAAAGCTGAAATTCAAGAATTTTTATCAAAAAATGAAATATATTTTATGGATTCTTATACAAAAAACAACTTATAGAACTATTAAAATTAGTTAAATGTGAAAAAAATTATGTTATCGACAGGCTAGCTGAGAATTATGGTCATAAAGTATTAAGATTACCTACTTACTATTGTGTATTTAATCCAATAGAATTGTTGTAGTCTCAAAGGAATGTGAGGAAAAATAATAATTCTTCTAAATCATTTTCGACTTTTGCAGATTTAATTAAGACCGAATGTAATAATATTACAGCAGATAATTGGAAAGAAATATATAGAGCATGTCAAAAAACTAGAAGAAAAATACTTACAATTCCATAATATTATAAATAGAGTAGTTATAGATTTAAACGGTAGCGATGATAGTGATACCGATTTAAATGTAGACGATAGTTAAGTTTAAAATTATTTTTTTTGTATTTTTTTACTATGTTAAAAATCTTTTAATATAAAAGCGTTACTTATATGTATTTTTCTTTTACTTTGTGGCATTGCCGTAATTCTGATAAAATGTATCAGTATATAAGTCCGACCCTGTGTACAACTATACCTAGAAGATTAAATACGAAATATCTTGCAACAAACAGTACACAAAATGAGATATGCTAAATCGAAATCGGTTAAAACATGTTACAAAAAAAAAACAAACATAAACAAAAAAGTTATTGCAAAATGAATAACAAAATCGCTAAATTTGAATCTTGTTAATAACTTTTTTATTATTTATTAAAATTAGACCAATATAATTACATATTGATACATAGGTTTTAATTCAGAACAACTTTTCATAATAACAATTTGCAATATTGCTAAAAATAAAGGTACTTTACTCTTGAGCGAAATTCATATTTTTTGACATACCTCGTATAAAATTAATAAAATGTGATATCTGATGACTGCATTTTAGGTTTTCGACCATGCAGATATATTTTTTTTTTTCGTAAAATTAATATTCAAAGAGTTATCATATTTGTAATAAATAAAAATGATGTTTGGTATCGGTAATTTGAGAAAAAATTGCAATTTTATTTTTTTCAATTAGAGGGACATCATTGCGTCTTAAAGGATATTTGTTTAATTCCAAATCACTTTTCATCTTAACATTTTTCGATATTGTGAAATATAAGGGTAAGTACTTTACTTTTGAGCGAAATTCATATTTTTTGACAAACCTCGTATACGGCTTAAAAAATTGATATCTGATGGTTGTGTTTTAAGTTTTAGATCATGCAAAACTCTTGTTACTCTAATCGGAACGCAAAATACTCTTTGTTTATAACACTCCTGTTAAAGCAATTTTTAATCATTTTTTTTTTGCTAAAAGTTTTTTTTTTGAACTAAGACTTTTCTTATAAAAGACGTTATAATTTCAATCCTTAATGTTGCTAATTAACGTAACAGTGATTTCTTTCAAAGATGATATTATCTTGGCTCCTAAGGGTCATAGAACCTTTTTTCTTTTTTAAAAAGTTTTCAGAATATGTTTGTCATTTAATCTAAACTAAATTCTACCGAATTATTTTAAATATTTATAAAAAGTGCTACTTATTATTAAATTGTTTTGTGTACATAAATGTAATTTTTTAAGCTTTCTTTTTTATAGGTTAATAGTATACCCCTTATCAAATAAACTAAGTTCAGGATTATGCAGATACATTCAGTCAAATCATCTGCACGAGCTATAGAAATAAGCTGTTTTTTTTTTAAATCTTATAAACAAAACAAATTTCGCAAAAAGTATTTAACCAATCTGGTCCATCTTTTGCGCACAATTCGGACACAATAAGACCCTCAAGTTCAGTTACATTACAATTACAGTTCAGGTGTATTTAATCCAATTTAAAATAAAGTTGAAAATAAAAAAAAAATTATTAACGATATTCAAAAATTGCGATTATTTTGTTCACTATGCAATAACTTTTTTGTTTATTAACTGGTAAAATAATCAGTTTGACGTTTTGATTATTTATTTAAACATTGTTGTACTAAAAAACTGGTGAATCTCAAGATGAGAGTCTTTTTGTAATATCTCATACAACACATCTTGTGTAATCGAAAAGTTTACAGTTTACAACGCTTAAAAAAGTAAAAAAGTACTAATCTGATAATCTGAGCTACATTTCTTTTTTGAAACATTTTTTTCTACGGCATACAGATTCTTCGTTAATAGATGCCCCCCCTATGAGGGGGGTTTTAAGGAGACCCGGAGGAAAAATTTCAAAATTTTTTGCATCTTTTTCGGAGTCTTAAAATTGACATTCTCAGCAAAATTTAGCTTGTTTTGTATGTTGTTCGTATGATTTTTAGAGGTTCTGTGGTATTTTCATCTCTGACAACTGGAGTATACATTTGTGATGCAAAATATTGAAATTAAAATCAAATTGGTTAAATTATAGTTTAATGATAATGTAACTTACAGAGACACCTTGAATGTTCTCCGCACTAGCAACGTGTACATGATATAGTTCTACAACAGACATAGAGTCGGGTTCTACCATATTCGCACCTTGTCTGGGGACCAAATCTAGGCCCAATTTGCTGAAACAAAAAGAAAAATATTTAAATAAAACTTATGCGTTTTTAGGATTTAAATATTTATCAACAGTTAAAAAATTAGCCGTCTTTCATGCAAATACAACTTAACAATGTATTAAAAACAAAAAATTCGCTTTGACTGAGATCAAGCACAGACACAAGATCCATAAAGATTACGTGTAATCGTATAGGGATTATCATAATTATTATAATAGACACGACGATTAAGGATAGTGTATTTAAGATACTTTATAAATTTCATTTTTATTTGGTAGTATAGTGCAATGAATGCTATCATGAAACCATAAAAACACACAACCGTAGATCTGTAGGCTATAAAATATTTAATTCTGCGAAAATTTTTATATTTATTTATTTAAATAATGTGGTTAAAAAAACAGATTGATATTTAATGTGAAACTATCTGAGTAGTAGACAAAAAAGAGAAACTCATAGATCTTGAAAATCAATAGGTAAGTATATCAATAGATAATCAATATTGCCATGATGAAACTAAACCAAAAATAGAAAACAATAATCAATAAGAAATATAGGTATAATGAATAAGAAGAAAATAGAAAAGCAATACAAAACAACTCAACACAAAATCCCAATTTTCAAAATAGTAATGCGCATATTCATTGATTGTATATCCGTGGATATTCGGATATTCAATCAACGGTATAATGCAAAGATAATCGATCAGTTTGAAAGTTCAGCTATCATCTGGCTTCATCTGCTTTGTGGGCTTATTGTACCTCCTTTGTGACTTGTTGCATTATTTATGTCTTCAATAACGCGTTAGTAATCGCATATCAACACTTAGAAGAAACACAGTTGACCAGCAATTTTTGTTCTTCATAAAGTTTCAAAACAACTAACTAATGTAGATTATCCAGATCCAAATCAGGTTTCATATATATATATATATATATATATATATATATATATATATATATATATATGTATATATATGTATATATATATATGTATATATATATATATATATATATATATATATATATATATATATGTATATATTAATAACACACATATAAAATATAAAATGATGGACAAAATACACTCTAAAATTTTTAAAATTTAGGTAAAAATAGTAAAACTTAGTTTATGACATCTTTTAATGGTGTGTTTTAACTCTGATATATAGAGAACAGAAAGAAAAAACAATTAGATTAAATTTAATTAGGTGTTCTTATAATATTGTATTTCTTTTCGAGAAACTAGAGGCCCATCTTGGGTATTTTAAATTTTTAAACCTGTCTTAATGGTATGCAACATGTTATGCATACAGGTGTATTATGGCGTGTATATGTAGAGGTAAACATTTATTTTATTTTTGTTGTTTTTCCAGTAAATAACAATAAATGTTCTGCTGATATTTTTATATTGTATTTCTTGGCTGTTGTAGTGAAGATGCGTTATTTGGAGCTCGTCTTGTGTCTCGGCGAATAATGCGGCGTCGTCTGCATAACGTAATATTTGGATTTCTTTATTCCCCATTCTGTAACCATGACCCTTACATACTGCTTGTATTATTTCGTCCATTATTATATTAAAGAGAACTAGGCTTAAGGAGTCACCCTGTCTGAGTCGGCTTTGTACTGGTAAACGCTGTGTTAGTTTTCTATTTATCTTTGCCTATATTCGAGTAGATGTTTTCGATGGTTTGTATAATATTGATTGATATATTTCTTTTATAGGAAAGCCTTTGTCAGGTCTATAAAACATAGATATGCTGGTTTATTGTACTCAACGGCCTTACCTGTGATTTGTCTTAGTACAAATACAGCTTCTACGCAGGATCTTCCCAATCTAAATCCTTGTTGTTCATCTGATAAAGTTATTAGTTTATTGATTTTGTTGGTTAGGACTTTTGTGCTAAGCTTAAGTGCGGTGTTCAGTAGATTTATACCTCTATGATTGTTAAGGTCTTCTTTCTCTCCTTTCTTGAGAATTGGTATCACTATGCTGTTTTCCCATGTGTCTGGTATCTTGCCGTGCAATATTAGTTTTTGTATAAGTTTTGTCATCTCTGGGGTTATACTTTCTCCTCCGTGTTTTAGAAGCTTGTTGGATATTTCGTCTGGTTCTAATGATGACTTTCTGTTTTTGAGTGAATTTATGGCTATCTCTACTTCCTGAAAACTGGTTTTTATTTCGTGTCTTAATTCAGGTACGTTATTATGTTGACTTAACTTTAGTTTTTTATGAATCTCCATATTTGTTTTTGTATACCGTAGAAGTCGCTTTCCATCCTTTTTGTAAACTGTTCCCAGTGTTCATTTTTTGTTCTTTTGAGTTTTTGGTGTTTCGTACTTCGTGTAGGCCTCTCGTTTCTCTTTACATTTCTCTTTTATTTCTTTTCTGGACCATGGTGTATTGTTGTTGTTTCTTTTGTTCAGTATGACTTTGCGTTTTCCTAGAGCTTCTGTTACTGCTTCTTCAATGTTGTTTTTAATTTTCTCCCAACTCGCGTTTACATCTTCGATATCGTCTATTTGTTTCAGCTGTATCTTTTGTGCTAGCCTCCTTTGGTACTTGGTCTTATTTCTCTTGTAGAGTCGTTTCACAGTGATTCTTACATTGAATTTTTCCTCGGTGATTTCGTGTAGAAAATGTTTTGGTGTTATTTTCATTCTTATTTTTCCTAGTACTAGTTTGTGTTCACTCCCTGCATCTGCTGAAATTAAAGTTCGGATATCTAGAATCTGTTTTGGGTGAATTTTTCTATTAGTGACTATAAAATCAATCATAGATTTATGCCCCCTGGAGTTTTCAAATGTATATTTCTACTGGAGTTTATGGTCGAAAAACGTATTATTGACTCTCAGTTCGTTAAAAGCACAGAAATTAGCCATGAGTTCTCCATTTGTGTTGACATGGTTTTCATTAAATCTTTGTTTTATTTCTGTAACTGTTTCATTTTCGATTCGTGCGTTAAAGTCTCCATAAGAAGTTCTTCAGGAGGTATTTCATCCAGGATTGTTTGTAATTGTTCGTAGAATTACTCTCGTTCATCCTTAAGTTTGCAGTCCTCGGCACTATAGATAGATATGACATTTAATTTTTGGTAGTCCATTGTGATGTATATATACATATACGTGTAATATGTATTATTCTTTTGGATGTATAACGGCAGTTATTTATGTTTTCTAGAGCTGGAAACAAATATAAATTTTAATTTTTTAAGTACAAGTATACCTACGCCTGCTTGTGCTTGTTCTTCTTTCTTCACTCCACCGTATGCTAGAAAATATTGTTTATAGTCTCTTTGGCCTTTACTTTTCTTCTTGATTTCTTGGATTGTACAAATGTCTATATTTTTATTTATCACTTCTTCTATATCTTTTGGTCTTTGTTGTTGAAAGAAGTAATGTCCCATGTTGCTAATCTGACTGTGGGTTCATTTTTCCTTCTCGTTTTCCTTTTCTTTGCGTGGTTCGGCAGCTTAGATTCCGTCTGGTACCGAGGCTTTCAAAAAATTGTAATTATTTCCATTATATTTAAGCACATTTTTAACAAATTATATTCCGTTGAAAAATTATTGATAGCACAATTTTCAGACATAAATCACTTGAATTTTATATTGTATTCGAAGTTTGTCTAGGTCATATTATTTTTAAAGGGGTTATATCTTTGTAAATGGGTATATTTAAAAAATTAATTTAAATATACCCATTTACAAAGATATAACCTCTTTTTTGTGATACGTGGTATACAACCAGCTACAGAAATTAATTTCCTTGTGGATTTTTTTTATATTATTTTTATAAATTTCCTGTATAAATATACATGTAATCTTTTGCCATAAAAACTGTTCTATCATGCATTTCCAAATCGAGTATACGACATAATATATATAATATATTAGTATTTAAGCCTAAAAACAAATAATAAATCTTAAAATAGTGTTACACCAGATATGTGGACCTATATAACTATTTAGAAGTTTAACACCAATGTTAATATTTAAAATCTTTAATCGGTAAAATTTTTGTTCCTCGTCTACAATAAAAAAAGAGAGCATGCAGTCTCTTGTAAAATGTATTTTTGGAACCTTTTATAATACCTGCAGGCTGCAGGTACTATACCTCAATCGAGTAGTTTTACCTGATACCTACAGCACAGTATAAAGAGGAACCTCTTATACTGTGCCTACAGGTTGTTTCAGAGAATTATAAGTATTTTTCCAAACCATCAATTATTATCCCTCGTGATTTATTCTAAAATTTTTAAATATGCAATGGAGCACATAATCATCGACCATCTAGAAACTAATTTATAAAATTATTTCGTAATGATAATATGTCATATTCATGAACATTTGAGATGTGAGTAAACTGGAGAATAAATAAAAGTATATCAACTAGACTCATCACAAATGGTATAACAGAAGAGATAAAAAATATATGAAGATATCTAGTCGTAGTTTAAAAAAAATGAGCTGAGCTCATAATTCGGCGAAAGGACCAAGAGAAAGACATAAATAAATATAATGACTGATTTGACTGTTTTCTAATTAAGGTAATATGCTGCTTTGTAAATCAACACGAAAAACACTTTCCATAGCCTGTCTATAATCTCGTCTAAAGATTTAGGTTTATACAGTGTCCCAAAGGATGCAATATGACAACGAATGTCTGAAGTTGGATTCCAATCGCTATGTACTTTGCAGCCCAAGTAAGTGGTATTGGTAATTCTTTGGAATGGCTGACCGTTAACTTGTATGCCGACATCAATAATTTAATCCGTATTAGAAAATATAATTTAGATATTACCGTATATTTAGTTTTTTCGATATTTAACTCCAGCCACACTTCTTGTTGTATTATGTGACTACTTGATTTAATAGGCATTGCAAATTGTTGTCGCCACTTATTATTAGAAACGTATCATTTGAGTAAAAGGCTGTTAATAGGGTCACTGTTAATTTTTATTCTATTTATTATCCTGTACTGCCTGTTCACAATTTTTTTGGGTCTA